TTGGTTGCTGTCCAGGAGCATGGAGGAGACAGCCTAGGGAAAGGGGCTGGAGTTTAGGGGCCCAGTCTCCCCCCATCTCAAGGGGGCCTGAGGCATCCTAGGCCTGCCCTGTAACCAGATTACATCTGTGCTGTGCTGTATCCTGGAGAGGCAATAAACTTTCTCTATTCCACCGGCTGGTGCAGTCTGTTTGTGCCATTTCGGGGTGCAGGAGACGGGGGACCCCCAACGTGCTGTCACACATGGTTTGTGCAGGAAGGGTTTCCCCTGCCCACTGCTGTTCCTGGCTACTGCACTGACACCCAGGCGCGTGGACTGTGTGGGGGATATGGACTGCAGCTCCTTCTGCTCGTTGGCCTAGCTGCCCAATTCAGGGAGAAAGCTTTCTCCATTAGCAAGACGTTAATTGCCATTTCCACTGTTTCAGCCCAAAATTATTTGTCTGTTAATGTCAAAACTGCCTGGGCAGCCTCTGCACATTTGTCCCTGGCATCCGTCCAGATCCTGGGGGATTCAGAGGGGCTGGAGGTCAGGACCATGAAGTAACCGCAGAGACCCCCATGAGCAAAGCTTTTAGATTTCCACCTTGTTATACGGAGACTCCCTCTGGCTTTGATGCAGGAGGGGTCAATTATAGGACTTTTGCTCTGGGTTTAGACAGCATCCAGCCCCATGGCATTCTGGATCAGAAGAACATAAGAACAGCCATACTGGATCAGACCAAAGGTCCATCTAGCCCAGTAGCCTGTCTGCCGACAGTGGCCAGCACCAGGTGCCCCAGAGGGGGTGGACCGAAGACAGTGATCAAGCGATTTGTCTCCTGCCATCCCTCTCCAGCCTCTGACAAACAGAAGCCAAGGACACCATTTTATCCCCTGGCTAATAGCCTTTTATGGACCTAACCTCCATGAAATTATCTAGCTTCTCTTTAAAATCTATTATGCTCCTAGCCTTCACAGCCTCCTCTGGCAAGGAGTTCCACAGGTTGACTACACACTGTGTGAAGAAGAACTTTCTTTTATTAGTTTTAAACCTGCTACCCATTAATCATGTGTTAGGTGCTGCCGCAAGACAATAAATAATTAAGCAAGAGGCAGAAACAGACTCCAGGAATCTTGACTTTAACTACTAACCAGTTTGGCTTCAACAAAATGAGGCCCTGATCCCTGACTGGGAATGCTGGCCACTATTCTATTCCATTCTGCAATGCTACATCCCAGGGATGAGTTGAATTGCTTTTAAACAAATGGCCTTCACGACACACATGATCTTTAAGCATTAAAATGGGACGCTATGGTCTAAATCTAGCTCCACGAGTCACCGATCTGTCCTGACACTGCAGGTTTGGGGTGGGCAGGAGATTTGTTAAGCCTGCTGCAGAATTCCTGAATTGTAAGTGCTCAGCTCATTCCCCCCGGACATTCCTTAGCACCCCTGCAAGGCTAGCAGCGCTGTCCTCCGGAGGCCACTGGGCGATGTCTTGCACTCTTAGCACACGCTTGGGCTGCTCATTCATACTCTTAGCGATCCCTGCAAGTGCTCGGAGGTCGTCTTTGTTCTAGTTTCCCATAATTGTTCCACTCCGTGGCAGAGTTCTTCCCACTTCGCCATCTTCTCCTTTCTTTTTTGTATTTCTGTCTGCGGGTCTGGCAACATCCATTATCTTATTTGTCTTCTTTTTCAACAGCAGCTCCGTCTGGCCTCTTGGCCTGCACCATTTGGTCCGTGACAATTCCCACATCCCGTTAAATCTTAGCCTCCTCCTTCTCTAGAGCACTTTCGATTTGGTGGTCTTAATACCGCACGGTTCATTTCAATCTATACTTGCCATAGAAACTCCAGTGCAAACACTTGGCAACCTCACGGTGTCTGTTTATATATTTTCTCCCAGCCAGGCTCCTGCAGGTGCTGAACACATGTTCCCCCAGCTCTTCCTTTTCAGGACACATTCTACAGTTCAGCGAGCAGTTCTATCAGTCAGTTTCATTTCTAATGTAATTAAGCCAGGACTGTTGTTAGACACTCATAATGGGGATCTCTGTTTCTCTTTTGAGGTCTTCTACAAGCCACAAATTTGTTAATCTTAATCACTAATGGGTTCTCTCTCTCTCCACAACTGTCCGTGCACTGATTTCTATGTAAGTCTCTCTTTGGCAGTTTGGTTTCTCCTTTCTTTTATGCTTTCGAGATCTGGGATTTATAGCTGGCTATTGCTTGTTAAAGCAGCCAGATGATGTTTTATTCTAACTCCTTGTACGTTTTGGGTACATCTACACTGCACACTTATTTCAAAATAAGCTATTCTGGAACAGTTATTCCCAAATAGCTTGTTTCAAAATAGCACATCTACACTGCAGGGAAGCCTCAAAATTAGTCTGAGGCAGGCTCCCCTACAGTAGACGTGCTATCTTGATTTAGAGCCCCAAGAGGAACTGGGAAGGAATAACTAAGGCTAGGTCTAGACTACAGTCTTTTGTCAGAAAAAGCTACGCAAATTGCGTATTTTTTTCTGATCACTTTTCTGGAAGAGGCTTTTGCACCATTTGGTCCCATCTAGATGGGGTTAAATAGTGGAAAAGCTTCCTCTTTTGGAAGAGACTTTATTCCTCGTAGAATGAGATATACAGGGCTCCCTGAAAGAGCATGTTTGCTCTGCCACAAAAAAAAAAGCAGAAGAGCAAACGCATTCTCTAGACACTGCAGCGTTTTCTCGGGATACTTCCCGTATCCCGGAAAAACATGCCAGTCTAGACAGACCCTGGTGAGGGGCTATTTTGAAATAGCAGCAGTGGAGCATCTACACACGCCTTATTTCAAAATAGCTATTTCAGAAGAGGAGTTATTCCTCATGGAATGAGGTTTACAGAAGTCAGAATAGCTGCCCGTTATTTCGATATTATTTTGAAATAATGGAATTGCTGTGTAGACATTCACATTGTTATTCCGAAATAACGCGAGTTATTCTGAAATAACGGTTCAATGTTATTTCCTTTTGATGTTGTAATCTTCATTGTCAATTGCTTCTTACTCAGGTAGAAAAACTTTTCCTCCATCACATTGTCAGACATGCATCCATCTCATCCACATCTTGTCTGCTATTCATTGCTCTGTGCATCGCCAGGAACTTTCTTGTTTGCACAGCATGTTTGGTTTGTTTCTCCTCTTCATTCCACTTGATCACACTGGTAGTGTCCTATGCTACTGGCACCAAACACATATTTATGGTTTGGATGAAATTCTTCACATTGGGTTTTGTCCTTAGAATAGTTCTTATTCATCCGTAATATGTCTTACTCACTTGTTCTTTGACTTCCTTAGGTAGTAACTCCAATAGTTCCCTGATTCCAAGGTATTGGAGGGGCCATGCTCAGAGATATCTTGAATAGCACATTAACTTATATGCCATCTGATTGTACCAATTTACCCTTCTTTACAGACATCAATAAAGAATGAGGCAAACCAATCCACAGCCTTCTCTCGTCATCAAACTTTTCTGCACATTATCTGTCTCTGTATCACCTTTTGGCACCATCCATATATGTAATCATCCATGGACAGCAAATGGTTAACTGGTTGCTCACTGCCGCCGACATGATAAGCATTGATGTCGATGGCAGCACCACTATGTTGGTGATGTACAATGCACAAACATAGGGGGCTGGCCTATGCTTTTTGCCAGTCTAGCCGCATCATCTCTAAGTTGTTATCGTTCTGTTTGGCCTCTTCCGTGATCCTAGTGCCTGCGGCAGGCCTTTTGTCCTTCTCATGTTTACTATGCAGACTTTTTGCACAGGAGGCAGCATTCCATTGCGAGCTAGCACTGTCTGGATCATCTTGGCCAGAACTGCTGGTAGAAGTTTCCACATAGTTGGAAAACACACGATCAGTCTATAATTCACAGAATCGCTGCGGCCTTCTTTTCTTTTATGTGCGAGGATGATTCTCCTCGTCACCATCCGTCTCGGGCACCCGTTCTTCAAACACGTTATTAAGTTATTCAAGGAAACACTCATGAAGAGTTATCCGGCATTTCAGCCAGAATCCGTCTGCCCCGTCTGGTCCGGGTACTTTCCAAGTTTTCAGTCTTCTCAGCACCCAGCAAAATGAGGCGCTGATTGGATTGGGCCGGGTTTCTAGGCACTGCCATAATAATAACAATGGAATTTAACTGTGAGCTAAAATATCTTTATGGGTTTTTTAAATCTCACATTCAAATGTTATGATCTATGTTAGTAGCAACACAGACATGAATGCACCAGAGAAAAGTCCTGCTCGCCAACATTCCTTTTCTAATTTCCGGTTATTGCTCTTCGGATTGGGAACAGTGTAGAGCCTTCCATACCTTATACTGTACATACCAAGCCTGCCCTGCTTGCTAATTGCAAATGGAAATGTCAACACATTCCTGCAAAGGTGCTATTTGTGCAAGTTGGAAGCATATAACCCCCACCCCCACCCCCACGCTCCTGTCCCCTCATCTCCCCCGTCTACGTTTCCAGCCTTGCAACCTTGGAAGCACTTAGCATTCCAGGTTCCTGTGAGGAGAGTTTAAATCCTGCTTCTATTCTTCCTCCCATTCTCTGCGGTATTTTTGTAACCCCCCGTGCTGGACAATGCAAACCATGCCAGGTATGTTTGTGTGCGGGGAAACACACACACACACACACACACACACACACACACACACACACACACACACACACACTTCCCCTTTCTCCTCCTTTATCTTTTCATTGAAAACAAAACTGGCCCGGGAGAATCAACTGGTTGATCACTTTTTGGACGGGCGAGGGGTCCCTGGCGTAGCGCTTTGGAGCTCACAGAAGCATGAAATCCCCAAGAGTCTCCCTCCCCAGGAGCTCAGCTGAAGGCGAAAAGCCACCGCAGACGTGGGACACATTTCAGCCACCCCGCCGGCCCGCTGCAGGTAGAGGGGCTGCTTCGCGAGGAGGCAGCGAGGACGCAAAGGGCAGCGTCGGAGAGACACCACGTGGTAGGCTATTTTGGAAGAGCATCTTAAAGGGGCCGTGCGCCCCAAACTCTTGATCACTCCTGCCGGGGAGACCCAAATAACGGGATTCGCTAACACTCCCTCCGGCGCGGGGCTGCCTCTCGAAGGTAAGGGCCGGCTGCAGGAGGGGAC